AGAGAAACCCTGTCTCGAAAAACAAAACAAAACAACAAAAAAAAAAAAAAAAAAAAAAAAAAACGAGTTAGGGGCTGGGTGTGTGCACGCACCTTTAATCCCAGTACTCAGGAGGCAGAGGCAGGCAGATCTCTTGAGTTTGAGGCCAGCCTGGTCTACAGAGTGAGTTTCAGGACAGTCAGAGCTACACAGGAAAACCCTGTCTGGAAAAATAAACAAATCTGTAACATTTTGAAGGTGGAGCAAGAAGATCAGTTCAGTCATGCTTAGTTACATAGGGAGTTCAAGGCCAGCCCAGGTTATATAAGACCTTGTCTCAAAAAAATAAATTGATGATCAAAGAAAAAATTAAAAATTAATAGGTAGTTAAATTGAAAATTATTAATTAAGTAGAGTTCAAGGTTCCTAAAACTCCCTCAGAAAGGTAGAAAAGAAGCTAGTAAAATATTCACATCAGCTTTAGAGGGACCATAAGTATGCTGGCTTCATCTTAGATAGTTAAATGTGATCTGCTTGATGACATTCACAGACATTGCACACTACCTCCCAAAAGAAACTTTTTTCCATGATGACTTGGACTCCTTGATACTCTCCAGCTCATCCACGGGTTCCTCTCCATGCGAGTCTTGAAAATACTGCTCAGTTTCACCTGTTTAAACACGATTAAAAACAAACAATAATTGATACCCCAGCCTGTCGTGAGTCAGAGCGAAACGATAAAGAAGCGAAATAAACCACCGCCTGCAGTGAGTCTCCTAGAAAACAAACAAGCTCAGGGCTTTCCCTGCAAGGTGGCAGGTCGGCAGTTACAGCAGGGCTTTATTACTGCTGTGTGCACTTGTGTGTGGAGGGGGCATGCCGGAGATTGCGTGCCACAGTACAAGTGTGGAGGCCAGAGTTATTTCTCTTCTTCCCTGGGGTTCTGGGGTTGGGATTCAGGTGAGCCACACCTTTCCAATCTTCTCTACAGCTTTTAAGTCTTTTTAGCTACTGATTAAAAATAGGGCACTGGGACTAGCGTCTGGAGGCTGACCTCAGGTACCAAAGTCTCTGCATAGGTCTCACCGACAACAGCAGAATTTGCAATGATGAGTGTACCCAGGCCTTTTGTTTTCACTGGTATTAGAATTCATGTTTATTACTATTTCTGCTAAAACTTTCTGCTTTAACTCCACAATACAAGAACAGGTAATGTATTATTCCATCCATTATCAATATAATCGTTTACTCTTAAGTTGTTGAGCTGCAGCTTCTTGCTGGATATGATGGTACATGCCTGTGATCTCAGCACTCCAGAGGCAAATTTCAAGCGCTTAACTATCTTTAGTATCACTTCCTTAGGATAAGTTACTAGATACAGAATTTATCAAAAGTGAGAAACTGATTTTAAAGTATGGCATACTGATCTTCATGAAAGAAATTTCTCATGGTAAGTCTGAAGTGGGTTGCTCCAAGAGTAAGATTAAAAATATTCAGGCTGTCACAAAATGCCAGTTTAGGCTCAAGACTGACTGATGATGTACCAGTAACCCTGCGGATGCCTTAGTAACATCCTCACTAGATGCATGGTGGCTGTTCTGACAGGAAATTAAGGAACAAGAGATTTCACGTAATAATAGGACAATAAATAATTCAACTAGAAATTCAACTTTCTATTATTGATCGGTTGTAATTTAAAGGCCACGTCCAAGTTAGCAAAGAATATAATGGGAGTCTAGGATAGGTTCTAACTATTCAGAACAGAAAGAATCGGAAATTTATCATGACATTTACCAGCATTTGTATTAGAGATTCTGTTTCTTAAGAGCAATGGGCAAGCTGGCCTCCACCCTTAAACTTACTTTTACTGTGAGACGTTTCACTGATGTGTTCTGTCAGATACTCCAATAATCCATCAAATATTTCTAGGAGATTCTTGATAGATTCCTTATCCCCTTTCACTATGTTTTCTCCTAAACACAGAAGACAGAGATTTTAAGACATTTAAAAAGGAAATCAGAAAGCCTCATTGTTGTTATTACTTTAACTATGTAAAGATATGTTAATTTCCTTATGTTGCAGAATATTACTTTAACTATGTAAAGGTGTGTTACATTTGTTTATGCTGCACTTGTTTAACAAGACACCTTGATGGATCTAATAAAAAGCTGACCGGCCAATAGCTAGGCAGTAGAAGGATAGGTGGGGCTGGAGGGCAGAGAGGATCAGGAGGAATCTGAGCCCAGAGAATGAACACGGGAAAAGAGAGGGAGATGCCTGAGGCCACTCAGCCAATTAGGCAGCCACTAGTCAGCCAGACATGAAGTAGGGCATACAGAAGGGAAGAAAGGCAAAAAGCCCCGAGGCAAACATAGATGAAGAGAAACAGATTAATTTAATTATAAGAGCTAGTGGGCCAAGCATAAGACTGAACATTCATAACTAATAATAAGTCTCTATGTCTTTATTTGGGAGCTGGTTGGTGACCCCAAAGAAAGCCTATAAACTTTGAAATGAATATATGAATGCAGTTTGAGAATACAGGTATAAACCAAGGAAAAGCAATTATAAATATCAAAAACATCCGTTTCCTGTTGATTATCACTGAAGAAACAAGGGATGGGGGAGCCTGAGTGTGGTAGTTAATCATTTGCTGGCACGTTCTTTTTTTCTAGCAGCTAAGTATCTGGCCCTAAGGAACAGTCTCTGGGGCAGCAGTTCTCAACCTATGGGTCAAGACCCCTTTGGGGATCTCAGATATTTACATTACAATTCATAACAGTAGCAAAATTACAGTTATGAAGTAGCAACAAAAGTGATTTTATGGTTGGCAGTCACCATGAGGAGGTGTACTAAAGGGTCACAGCAATAGGAAGGTTAAGAACCACTGCTCTAGGGAAATGGCCACCAAAACAGAAAACAGCAGAGACCTTTCCAGTAGCTAGTGAAAGAACAGCCTACGCCTGCTGGGCCTGCTCATGGGGCTGCACTGTGAAAAGTTACAAGACAAGATGGACAACTTGTTGGGATGCTTCTTCCTTCCATCAGGAATCTCTGTTCTTGTATCTACTTACTTTGTGTAAGTTTTCCTTTTTTTTACACCTTGAGACAGGGTAGCCTCGAACTTTCTATACAGTAGAGGGTGACCTTCAACTCTCATCCTCCTGCCTCCACCTCCCAAATGTTAGGATTATAGTCCTGTATCAGTATATCTGGTGTAGATGGTACCAAAGAGCAAAGGTCCTGCTTTCTGCAAGCTAGCCAAGCACTTTCTGCCTCTAATTCCCAGAAGTTAATCTTTGGGAAGTCTCTAGCACGATGCCTGGCCCAGAAGAGACCGCAGATAAATGTGAAGGTGGGATGTGCAGAAGCGAGCTGGTAAAACATGTAAGCCTGACTTGTTTAATGTCATCTAAAATGGAGTCTAATCAACATCAAGTCTGGATGGAATTTATCTCCCCGTACTCTCTGTCCTTTGGGAAATTATGCCTAGCATTCGAAAAATACAGCAAAGGAAGGCTCAAAGTCTGTTAACTGAGAATCTAGTCATCTACTTTAACCATGACATAAAACAAATCTACACCAGAATTCTGATGTTGTCCTCTGCTGCTGGTAAAAACAGACAAAATTTGACAGGCTTTTTAATTTTTAAAATAACAGATCAGAAATCATGTTTTCAAGTTCTGTTTTTTTCTGGCTTAAACAATGTGTGTCCCAAGGGCATCCTCAGCCGTCTTCGTTTCCAGGATGGGGAGTGCATGGGGAGCGCATGACGTCAACCCAGCAACTAGATTGGCAGCAGGGCCCACAGCTCCGAGGTAGGGGAAAGTGCTTTAAAAGAGACCTAAGCAGTAAGAAGCTGCTGCTCAGGGGATCTGAAGAGGTAAGCAGATCTGACACTGCTCATGCTGTGCTGTCTGGGCAGTGCTATACTGAAAACCTTACAAACAGGTGTTCTCAGAACCTTGCTCCGGTGTATTCATAAAGCACAAACACCGAGCTGTTCACGGAAACCTGGGACTATAATCCCAGCACTGAGGAGATGGCGATGGGAGGATTGCCAAGAGTTGGAGGCCATCCTGAGCTAACTAGTGAAACCAGTGGTCTTACCCCAGGCTAGAGTTTAAGAGTCCGTCTTTAAAAAACAAAAAGGGAGCTCAGTGTGCTGACACAAAGCTTTAATCTCAGCATAGGGGATGCAACTGGATCTCTGAATTCTCGGCCAACAAGACTACATAGTGAAGCCAGCATCAGACAAACTGGCAACTGTCCTCAGTCAGGTGATAAAGCAGTTCCACTGAGTTGCAAGAGCAAGGCAACTCCAAAATCATCCCTCCAAATTAATCACCTCCAAAGTGAGCAAAACCATTTACTCACCTAGAACTGAATTAAAGAGAACCGTGTATGGCTCCTGTCAGTGTATTAAGAGACATAAACGACCTATCTTAACATCTAACTCCTTGTGGCTCACACCTTTGATCCCAGCACTTGGGAGTCAGAGGCAAGTGGATCTCTTTGAGTTTGAGGCCAGCCTGGTCTACACTGTGAGTTCCAGGACAGGCAGAATTATGTAGAGAGAACCTGTCTCTAAACAAAATAAAACAAAAAGAACAGAAAAACATTTACCTCCTTGAAATGTAAAAGCCGTTTTTGTGATAAAATATACGTGGAAGTTTCTAGGATTCTCGCTGTTCATGAGCTTCAGCTGCTTTACTAGGATTCTTACCCATCAGTCTGCAATTATGAATATGCATGTGCTATGTTTGGTTTTGTATGTTTGGTTTTGAATGCAACATAGTGTACCCTATATTATTTAGAAAAAAAACTTTTAAATTGTATCTGTGTCTGTGTGTGGTGCTAGAAATCGAACCCAAGGCTTCCTACTCTAGAAGGCACCTTGCCAATTAAATTATATCACCAAATGTTTTAGGTAGATAACATAGTGATGGAGGAAGGTAATTGGTTAATTATAATAAACCAACTGCTTGGCCTCATAGCTTAGAACATAGGTGGGTGGAATAAACAGAATAGGATGCTGGGCGGAAGAGGAAGTGAGATCAGACTCTGCTCTGCTCCCGGACAGACCCGACAGCTCTGCTCTCTGGAGCAGAGACGCCATGCTCAGCTCTCCCAGGCAACTCCAACCCAGAATAGACATAGGCTAGAATCTTCCCGGTAAGCGCACCTTGGGGTGCTTACACACATCATTAGAAATGGGCTAGTCCAGGTGCGAGAATTAGCCTGTAAGGGCTAGAGTTCATGGGCCAAGCAGTTCTTAAATGAATACAGTTTGTGTGTTGTTATTTCGGGCATGAGCTAGCCAAGCGGCCGGGGTGTTGGGGACGCAGCCCCGCCGCTCCTATTTCAACAGATGGCGCCCAGACGTGTGGACAACTGAATCCACAGAAAGCCTGAAAAAGCTTGGGAAAGAGTAAAGCATGTTTTCTTGGTAGCAGCAGTTTCTCGGGTCTCCTCTGCTTGTTAGAAGCAAGCAAGTACTCTCATCTAAGAGAGGCTTCCTGACTCAGCTTCAGCTGCAAAACCCTGCAGCTCATTAAGAGGTCCTGCCACAAAACACTTAAACGGTGTTGACGAAAAGCTGAACGCATGCTTTTCGATTTTCAGCTGTAGCAGGAAAAAAGCTGTGCCGTTTAAAAATGCCGGCTTTCTGGGCTGTCCTGCCACGGCAAACTCTGACTCTTTTACGCAGGCGGTTCGTGTGGTTTGCAAGCACAGGCTGCTGAAGCTCGCTTGCTGGCAGGGACCTTGAAATGCCATAGAGTTGTGGCAGTAAACGTGGCTACAACCGGTACCTCAGCCATGAGGCCGGAAAGCTAAGGAATGGACTGGATCTAGCTGGCAAAGCCACGGCTTTAATCCTACTCATATTGCTCAGTAATTTAAAGGCTCGTGTGGTCAGAAAAAGAGAGATATACAGTAAAGAGATTCAAAGATAAAGAAAATGTTTAAATGATTTACAGTGTGTTAAAAATATATGCAAGCTAAAAGTTAAAAGTTCTTAAAAAAAAAAAAGAAAAAGAGAAGTTGTGTGTGGTAGTACACGCCTTTAATCCCAACACTTGGGAGGCAGAGGGAGATTGACCTCTGTGACTTCAAGGTGTGGTAGCACACGCCTTTAATCCCAGTGCCTAGAAGGCAGAGACAAACAGATCTCTGTGAGTTCAAGGTGTGGTAGCAAACACCTTTAATCCCAATGCCTGGGAGGCAGAGACAGGCAGATCTCTGAGAGTTCAAGGAGAGCCTGGTCTACAGAGTTATTCCAGGTCAAAGAGATACAGAGAATATAAAAGTAAAAATAAACGAAATAGAGGTTAAAATAAAGCGTACAAAGATGGAAAATACACAGAGAATCTTGATACTGTATACTATTATGCTCTCTTTGAATTGTTTGAATGCTGAGGAAGGAGCAACAGCTGCTAAAAGATATTTGTTTATAAATGCTGCTGAACTAATCCAACGTAGAGATTTTGATGCCTTGACTTTGAAATTTGGATCTAAGGACATGATACTTTGGAAAGGAGTTTCTTTTTTTGTTTTCACAGAGGATGAGACCCTGTTCATTTCTTCTATTCCGATATGGTATGATGGACCACGCCCTCCTGAACGGTTGCTGTGAATACCTTCAGAAAATTGCTTCGCTCAACTGCCAACTGAGATGAAACTAGCACACAGGTTATACCATGAAAGACCTAATTAACGACGCCCCCATTCAGCAGGAAGCAGTTTGGAGAGAAAAAACTGCGCCCATGTTCCCAAATATGGTTTATAAATGTTCTTTTACATTTAAAGGGGGAGATGATATAGGTATGAATAATTTACATTGATATGGATTTTGCTTTAGTGATTTAAATTTAAGGTTAATTTTGTAATGTATATAGGTTGTTAATGAATAATCATTAATAATAGTTAAGTTTGTAGTCATGTTAGTTAAGATTTTCTAGATGTGCATAGATATATTTTAGATAGGCATTCTTCATATTTTTCAAAGATTATAGAATATGGCATTTTAAATGTTTTAATAACTTAGGACTTTTCATGACAATGAGACACTCTGCTCCTGGCAGCACCAATCTACTTCAAGAGGAAGATGGGCATCGAAGAGGATCCTTATGGAGTTTGATAGCCATTTGGGCAAGAAACTGCTCTTGCCTGGACTATTGCATAAACTGGACACAGAGAACCCGCAGAGAGAGGACTGCTGAACTTGCCTAAAGGTGAGATGATCTTTCGGGGTTCCTGATTCATGAAAGAGTCTGCAAGACATTCTTCAGGACAAGCAGATAGTGACTGCCTTTGAAATTTCCTGCTTTGTGGAAATGTCTGCTGGAAACTATGGGCCTGTAGGCCGAAGATGGATGCCCCAACGGTACAGAGGAACTTTGGGTGACTGTCCAGGCAGCGAGATGTCTCTGTCATTTCTAGAGCTTTGGATGTTAAGTTAAAGCCTTCTTTTTTTTTTTTTTTTTTTTTTTTGTTTAAACAGAAAAAGGGGAAGTGATGTGGGAGTGTCATATATCAATCTGTTGATTTCATTGGTTAAGTTATAATAAACCAACTGCTTGGCCTCAGCTTGGAACATAGATGGGAGGAGTAAACAGAATAGAATTCTGGGCGGAAGAGGAAGTGAGGTCAGACTCTGCTCTGCTCCCGGAGAGACCCGACAGCTCTGCTGGAGCAGAGACGCCATGCTCAGCTCTCCCAGGCAGCTGCAACCCACGATGGACTTAGGCTAGAATCTTTCCGGTAAGCGCACCTTGGGGTGCTTACACACATCATTAGAAATGGGCTAGTCCAGGTGCGAGAATTAGCCTGTAAGGGCTAGAGTTCATGGGCCAAGCAGTTCTTAAATGAATACAGTTTGTGTGTTGTTATTTCGGGCATGAGCTAGCCAAGCAGCCGGGGTGTTGGGGACGCAGCCCGCCGCGCCTATTTCAACAACATAGTTCAAAATTTAAAAAATAAAATAAAATCTCAGGGGCTGGAGAGATGGATCAGTAAGTAGTTAAGAGCATTGACTACTCTTCCACAGGACCCGGGTTCGATCCCCAGCAACCACATGGGAGTTAACAATTGTCTCTAACTCCAGTTCCAAGTGGACCCAATACCCCTTACATGCTAGCAAAACACCGATACATATGAAATAAAATAAATCTCAAAAAAAAATTTAAGTTTTAAAATTGCTTAAGGAAAATTCTTACTTGTAAGCCCTTTTCCGTATCCATGAGTCTTGTCGGATGTCACCAGAGTAACATGATTCTGACATACTCTTCTAGAAAGTCTTTCTGAATACAACCAAGTACATACAAATTCTCACCACACCTGTCCTAACAAACTGTAGCATGTGCTATTATCATCAGAAAGACAAGTTTTTCTAACACAGTGTACCCTGAAGACTGTTTTCTGTAATGTGCAACTGTATAGTTCAAATCTCTGCAGTTGCTCATTGCTGTGGAGTGCCGCACTGTAAGGAGCTTTTGTAATTTAATCAGCAGCTAATGTGACATTTGGGTTCTGGTGTTCCTTTTAACTGCAACAGATTTACAGCATGGTATGCTTTAAAACAAGCATGGTGGTACACACTTTTTTTTTCGTTTTCCCATTTTTTTTTTTTTTTTTGAGACAGGGTTTCTCTGTGTAGTGCTGGCTAGCCTCTAAGAAAGCCACCTGCCTCTGCCTCTGCTTCCCGAGTGCTGGGATTCAAGACTGCACCAGCATGTGGCACACACCTTTAATCCCAACACTTGGAAGGCAGAGGCAGATGGAGCTCTTAGAGGCCAGCCAGGTCTACAGAGGAAATCCATCATGACAGCCAAGGCTACACAGAAAAACCCTGTCTCAAAAGAAAAACAAAAAACAAACAACTACTACAAAAGACTCAAAACTACCAAATACAAAAAACACATACTTAAAACACATTTGCAGGCCAGCACTAGCGCAGACTCAGTGGCCAGTGTTCCAGGGCTCTCATGGCACACTGAATGTTGTAGCTCAACCTTACAGTTTTCGTGTTCAAACCTGTTAAACAACAGCTTAGATTCTAACACTTAATTAAAATATATAATTATCTGATGGGTAAGCATATACTAACCTGTTATGTGAGACAAGCTGACCTGAAGGTAATCCAAAGCTAGTGAATCAATCACTGCTTGTACATTGTGGGCATCGTCTTCTTGACTCCTGGAAATAACTATGAGGTCTGTGGGGGAGGGAAAGTCATGTCATTTTAGAGCTTTGAGGGGCCGAGCTGTGAAATATATTTGTATTCATCATATATATGTCTGTGACTAGGCTTGTGAAAAAACTCCACTGCTACAAAAACAACTCAAAAGAATTATAGAGCCTAAACTCTATGTACTAGAGTCTGTATTGGTTGACTATTTATTGATTTGAACTTACTCTTCAATACTCTATTTATAATAGTTGAGTATTTTTCACCCAATGTATGAGTATATTCTATACACATACCATGTAAAGGAATAAATAGAGCTCCTTAAAGGCATTAGTGCCAGGCAGTGGTGGCACATGCCTCTAATCCCAGCACTCGGGAGGCAAAGGCCGGTAGACCTCTGTGAATGTGAGGCCAGCCTGGCCTACAAGAGCTAGACCCAGGACAGGCTCCAAAACTACAGAGAAACCATGTCTTGAAAAACAAAAAACAAAACAAACAAAAAAATTAAAGGCATTAAGATAGTCTAATAACAACAGCAAGGCTGGGTATGATGACACATCTCTACAATCTCAGCACTGGCGAGATTGTAGCTATATCAGGAGTTTGTACCTACACTGCTCTATATAACAAGACCTGTCTAAAAACAAACAAACAGATGCTTAAACCCCTAACTATGGGCTGCTTTCCTTGACAAAGTAAAGCAAAAACTAAAGGCCAAATCAGCCAGGCATGAGAGCATATGCCTTTAATTCCAGCTTTCAGGAGGCAGAGCAGAGTCTGATCTACATAGCAAGTCCTAGGTCAGCTGAGGCTATATGGTGATATTATGTCTAAAAAACAAAACCAGAAGACCAAACCACTGCAGGTGTTCAAGTGGTCAGCTTTCATATGCCCTGTTATAAGCATCTTCTGGGGATGACTGGCTAAAGCAGAGATGAAAATATAGAAAAATTTTAATGGCAAGACAAGCCTCTCATCTGGGTAGACTAGAGCACCTTTTAATCCCAGCACTTGGAGGCAGACAGGTGGGTATCTGAGTTTGAGGCCAGCTTGGTCTACAGAGAAAGTTCCTGGACAGCCAGGGCCACATAGAGAAACCCTGTCTTGAAAAAAACAAAAATGAAAAACAAAACTGAACTAACATCAAGTAAATGTTAATTCTTATCCATAATTAGTAGTCAAATAAGACCCAACAAATTCCCAAGACCCACTCAAATTTATAACCTTGAATTGAAGGTAGTTACAGAAATAATGACTCTAAAAGGCATGAATTGCATGGGATTAAATGGGGATTAACTCAAATAAATGCCAGACTATTTAATCATGGCTGTTATTGTGGGTGAGGTCCATAATGTACTCATTAAAGCAACTAGTGTCATAGTTGAATAAGACACAAAATTCATTATGAAAGGAAACTTGTGGCTCAAGACAAAATTATTCTCACTTTTCAGTACCCTTACCTGGTACCTTTTCTCCCAAAATGGACTGATAAAGTGCAATAAAGACATTAGCATCACAATCTTCAAGTTCGTGTATCCTCAGGTGTATGTGACATTTAAAAAGAAGATTATTGGCAAGTGTTACCCATTCTGTTGGGGAAGAAGGGGGGGGGTATCAGTCTTCAATAGCAATAGAAAAAGTCATATGTACATTTAAACAAAAATCACTGCCACAGAACATATACATTGAAAACTGTAGAAGATAAGGACTTTGTCATGAGATTTCAAATACTCAACTGGGCAAAAGTTTTCAAAAGATGTACTTAATTCCTTGGGATGATTTCCAGTGCTAGCTCTTACACAGTCAAAACTATTGGGCCAGTCCAACTTTTACTCTTGTAACCTAAGATTCCACCTACTGGCATTTTTATAATACTGACATAGGTGTTTTAGTTACAATATACTTATAGGTAAGAACGAATGTCAAAAGGCAGTAGTAAATGATAATCTAAAGTTGCTAGAATCTAACGGAGGGAGGTGGCTCCAAATTCCCAAAAGTTTTATCCAATTAGCTTGTGTAAGTTAAGATCTCTCTGGTGCCCAAACAGGTGACTGATTTGGACTGTTAGGAACTGGAATAATGACAACACCGACACTAATGCATTTGTTAGCTTTCTTTTTTATTACAGTTGATGCATATGAAGGTAAACATGAGAAAAATGAACACAACGCTAAGCTCTGAACTAGCACATTAATACTGCTCACGTTCCCCGTTGGGTTATTGTTTGTTTGCTTTAAACATCCCTTCTTTTCCTCTATTCAGTTCAGGACCAAGCTTAAGGGTTTCAGCAATAATTCTGAAAGCTTGAAACTCCTGTATTCTGAAACGACTGGGTATTAGAGAAGACACCATAGAACTGGGCAAGTCTCCAGTATGAGATGGACCGGTATTCTGGAGACAATAGTCTGAATGTGCCATCCATGTCTCCGTCCGATGCCCATTTCTCACAGCAACCAAGCCATGACAACCATTTTGTGTGCTGTCCGGGAGAGGAGGTAAGCGTCCTGGACAACCGAATCAACTGGCTTTTCAAAGGCAGTACTAGACAAAGCCGGTTATTCTAGAGAACATCAAAAGATCTAAGGAGCGCTGTGCCTCAAAAAATAAAAATAAAAAATAAAAAAATACACGTCCCACATATATGGGTTCAGAGCAGGATCCTCTGCTCTGAAAAAGACAGGATGCGGGTGTTCCAGCCTCGCCACAGAACCCATCTATCACATCCCAAGTGTCCGTCCCGCGTCTAGAAACCCCAAGAGGTCTCGAGGCTGAGACCCCCAAATTCAGAGAGCCCCCCGCGACTGCGACTACTGTCCGGCAGTCACGAGCCTCTCGGGACACGGTTAGGGTCGGCCCGCGGCCAGCTGGATGCTGCAGAATACAAACACTAGGGCTCCAGGCCGAGACTCACCAGCCTCAGAGCTGGCCATACTGCCAAGAAAGGTCGCGGCCGGAGACGAGAGCGCGGGCGGGCGACGGTGTCCTGGAAGGGCCGAACCGGAGAGAGCCGAAGCGGGTAGGAGGGGGTCGGAACCAGAGAGCGGGGACCGAGGGCTGGGAGAGGGAGGGACGTTAAAACGGCTTCTCGCCGCTGATTGGTCATCAGAGAGGCACTTCCTCTCGCAGCTCGCGCTTCGGCGGCAGTTTGCGGGCTCTAGCTACCTTTCCCCGCGGGCAAGATCCCGCTTGAGGGTTCTCAGATCGGCCGGCCAGGCAGCCAGGTCACCCAGCAGCCCGGCCGATCTCCCCGGGGCGTCGGGGCCGCGCTTCCGGTGAGTCTGCGGTGAGGTATCCCTCCGCCGCCGCCAAGCGGACAAGTAGTGCGGTCCGCCTAGCCCTGGGGTGCCACCACGTGACAGCAGCAGGCTCCACCTCCCCGTCCTCCCCGGTCATGGGCGTGGGGGAGTCTGTGGCGACGTAAACATCTTCAAGCGGAGCCTGCGAGCTGGCAGGCGCTGGCCATTTTTTTAGTGACCGGCTGGCCCCGGGGAAGCGGCTCGCTTGAGGTGCGGGGCGAGGCATCCTAGGGGGGTCGGCGCCGTCGGGAAGGGGGGGGTAGACGGGCGCCTGTGAGGGGGCGCGGGGGGGGGGGGGGGGGGGGGGGGGGGGGGGGGGGGGGGGGGGGGGGGGGGGGGGGGGGGGGGGCCCGGGGGGGGGGGGGGGGGGCGAGGACATGGCGGATTCCGGAACGCCAGCGGGCGTTGGAGCCCCAGCCAGGGGGCGGGGCGATTAGGTCACAGAGCGGCTCCCGGCAGCCTTTGCGGCGAGGAGGCGGTCCAGGCTATAAAACCGGCCGCCGGGACGCAGCCGGCACCTCATTCATTTCCACCGGTCCCTGGGTTTACAGCTCCGGCTTCGTCACCGCCGTTTCCCTCCGCTGGTGACGCCCCCGCAAAGGCTTCGCCGTCGCCGAGCCTCCTCTCCGCGACTCGTCGCTACTGGATTCCCCCTCACTGGGTCTTTCCCGCACACCGCAACCATTGACGCCATGTCGAGTTATTCTAGTGACCGGGACCGCGGCCGGGATCGAGGGTGAGTGTGGCGAGGGACCTGTCAGGCCGGGCGGGTGGGGGATGGGAGGGCGGCGCGGCCGGAGCTCGAGTTTCCAACCGACCGCCCCCGGGGTTTTCTGTAAGGAAGCCTGGCGTTTTCTGATAGCCGATTTAAAAGCCGTTAGAGGCGACGCTTCCTGGTCCTCGGGCTCAAGCCCGCTTTTGTGAGCTGCGAGGACCGGGACCCGCGGCGCCCCCGGCGACCTCGCGGCTGTTGAGGCGAGTCCGGGGGAGCGGGGCAGGGAAGGGAGCGCCGCGCCTTTGAGGCGGCCCGAGGCGTTGTTCCGCGCAACCTTCCTGCCGGTGTTTTAGGGGCTCCCGGTGTTACCCGGGAGTCGAGGGATCGCTTTCGAGGCCATCCGTGCCGGGGAGGATGGCCAACGTCGGCGGATTCAGCCATGCGGCTGAGCCGCGGCCACAAAATGCCGGCCTCGGACATGGCGGCGGCGCCTTTGTTACCCCGCCCGGCGGAGGCGCTCAAAATGGCAGCGTCGAGAAAATGTGGCGCAGAGAGAAATGCGAGACAAAGAAGGAAGCGCCGCCCCAGCGGGAACGCCGCCCGGTCCGGGACTCCTCCCCCGGTTGTCGCCGGCTCCTCCTCTTTTTTTTTTTTTTCCCCTGCTCGCGTTATATAATTTTGCTACCTTGATGTGCAGCGCTTCCGCGGTTCGCGGCGTTCCCCAAATCGCGGCTCGCCGGCGTGGGCACCCCTTCCTACCCTGCCCGCGACACCCTCATTAACCTCACATCGCCAGCGCGGTCCCGTTATTTAAGATCCGTTCCTTTGGTCGAAAACCGTGGCAAAAATAATCTTAAGCTCCTCCCTTCTTGCCCAGCTCCTAGACTCTTAATTCCTAAACTCGGAGGGGGGGGGGGAGTATATGGAGCCTCAAGCTGTTATCTGTCCATGTAATCCGAACTTCCAAAGGTTTGGGCATTTTCCGACCTGATAAATCCAGACTGTTTGCTTGGCCTCAATAGAGTGCGCTTGGGGACTACAGTAAAAAGAAATACTGTGCCAGTTGTGGCTGTCTAGAGAATGACATTTGGGAGGGATTCCAGAAATGCACTTTGGCTCGAAATCAAAAGGCATTAAATAAGACTTGGGTGCAAACCTATATAGGACTCTTCACAACTCGACTTTTTTTCTCCCGTAGATTCGGTGCACCAAGATTTGGAGGGAGTAGAACAGGACCCCTCTCTGGAAAGAAATTTGGAAATCCTGGGGAGAAACTAGTTAAAAAGAAGTGGAATCTTGATGAGCTGCCCAAATTTGAGAAGAATTTTTATCAGGAACACCCTGATTTGGCAAGGCGTACCGCTGTGAGTAATGTGGATTTTACTCAGTTGATGGAAACTGACAGGTGTCTTGCAAATGTCTAGGTTTGGAGAGTTATTTGTGATATGACTCCCAAACATGTCCTATTGAGTTATTCTGTGTAAAAAAATGTGTGTTGGCCAGGTTTAATGGCGTGGGCCTTTAATGCAATCACTGGGGAGACAGGCAAATCAATCCGCTTATTTGGGTTACACAGTGAGACTTGTTTTTTTTTTACATATGTATAATAAAGTAATATTTATTGCTAAATGGATTTTATGTGTCCAGATTTTAAGTACATAAAATCGTTAGCTGTGGGGAGCTTGTCAGTGCAGTTGGCTAAGGTTTGACACTGAGATCATTTGCTTTTCAGCAAGAGGTAGATACATACAGGAGAAGCAAGGAAATTACAGTTCGGGGTCACAATTGTCCAAAGCCTGTTCTGAACTTTTATGAAGCAAACTTCCCTGGTAAGAATTAATTTTCATCTTCGTCTTTCATTTATTTTCTCTTTTTACCTAAAAGTTTTTTACTAAAATATTCTTGGTTACAGCAAATGTCATGGATGTGATTGCGAGGCAGAATTTCACTGAACCCACTGCTATTCAAGCTCAGGGCTGGCCAGTTGCTCTAAGTGGGTTGGATATGGTTGGAGTAGCTCAGACTGGATCTGGGAAAACATTATCTGTAAGTTTAAGACAACTTGATACGTTCTGGGAGAGAGAGGATCTGGTAAATCTTCTTTAAAGCATTTTAATGCAATTTCTCCTGTTTCTATTCTTGCTCTCCAATAGTATTTGCTGCCTGCCATTGTCCACATAAATCACCAGCCATTCCTGGAGAGGGGTGATGGGCCTATTGTAAGTATGGCTTATAATTTTTTTTGGTTCTTAGACTAGAGATTTGTAGACTACATAATCCCCCATTTTGCTAGAACTAGTTTGACTTGTTCTTTCTGGAAAATGGAATTTGATTTTGCCTAAGGACAGTAAGCTCGAGACTTGCCATCAACTCTGATGCCTGAGTTCAATATCTATAACCTACAAGTAGGACAGAAAGTTTCCTGGAACCAGTGTTTCTTTATTCTGAGCATAGTGATCCCTGTTTATAATCTCAGTACTGTAATCCCAGGCAGAAACTGAGGATCCAGGAATTGGAAGTGCACTTCAATAACAGAAGGCCCTTGTAAAATTTAAAAAAAAAAAATCTTATGTCCATCTAAATTCAGTTCCAGAGACAACATCCCACCCTTCCTCAAAAAGACATGACACCCTAGTATGCTGGTTTGTACTAAAACTTTTTGTTTTTTAAATTTCTTTTCTTAGTGCTTAGTGCTGGCACCAACTCGAGAACTGGCCCAGCAAGTGCAGCAAGTTGCTGCTGAATACTGTAGAGCTTGTCGCTTGAAGTCTACTTGCATCTATGGTGGTGCTCCCAAGGGACCACAGATTCGCGATTTGGAAAGAGGTATATGCCCATAAAAGGGGCTCTTTGTCACTGGTAGGGTGAGAGTTTTGCATACTAAAGTTAAACTTGCTCCTTTAATTAAAGGTGTGGAAATCTGTATTGCAACACCTGGAAGACTGATTGACTTTTTAGAGTGTGGGAAAACCAATCTGAGAAGAACAACCTACCTTGTCCTTGATGAAGCTGATCGAATGCTTGATATGGGATTTGAACCCCAAATACGGAAAATTGTGGATCAAATCAGAGTATGTATCTTTACGTTCTTTTAAAAATCAGCTCTAAGTTTACTAAGTGTTGTGGTCTAATTTATTTCCCCCAATTTTTTAGCCTGATAGGCAAACCCTGATGTGGAGTGCAACTTGGCCAAAAGAAGTAAGACAGCTTGCTGAAGACTTCCTGAAAGACTATATTCATATCAACATTGGTGCACTAGAGCTAAGTGCAAACCATAACATTCTTCAGATTGTGGATGTATGTCACGATGTAGAAAAGGATGAGAAGTAAGTTTAAGTCTTAGCAATTTGAGGAAATCTTGCTTACACACCAGACTGGTTTTGGAAGTTGTATGAATGAAATTTAGTGTGGTATATGTTCCTTTTTAAATGTTTATGGGAATATACATATTGGATAAACTACTTCCCTGCCTGGCAGGCATGAGCAAAAAAGCTTGAGTTTGAACTTAGCCACTACACAAGCATACAAAGTGGTATGCCAGTCTTTTTTGAAATTCTTTATTCTTTGGGTGTTGATGTTTGCTAACAGCACTTCCTGTAGCCACGTGTCATTAGCTTTCCCTAAAGGACAAAGAACAGAATTGACTTAGTGGGTGTGATGTTTTGACTTCCATGATACGCATTCAACTGTTTCACCTATCATTTTTTTAGACAATTGTTTCTTTTAAAAAACTGACATTTTTTTTTTTATCTTTAGACTTATTCGTCTAATGGAAGAGATCATGAGTGAGAAGGAGAATAAAACCATTGTTTTTGTTGAAACCAAAAGAAGATGTGATGAGCTTACCAGAAAAATGAGGAGAGATGGGTATGTGGTTTCCTGCATCAAGGCAGACTTCAGAAGTACTTTGTTCAGAAGCAGGGAGTTTTGTGGGGATCATATACCACAGCATAGGTATAATTATATGAATTAATTTCCGTGACACTATAATGGTAACAGCTCAGTGATATAGTGCTTTTTGAGAGAGCACTTTGATGAAGACCTGTAGGGTTAAATATTGGCTTCAGGTTTTAAATGATTGCACTAATATAACTTGCTAATACAGGTGGCCTGCCATGGGCATCCACGGTGACAAGAGTCAACAGGAACGTGACTGGGTTCTAAATGGTATGTATTTCAAATAAGATGAGATTTGTAATTTGATAACATTTGCTTGGATTAATAGTCATTTTTATGTGTATGTCTTTGTAGAATTCAAACATGGAAAAGCTCCTATTCTGATTGCTACCGATGTGGCCTCCAGAGGGCTAGGTTAGTACAAACTCGAATTCGTGGCTTGGTTTCCCAGAAGATCTCCATGTAGTTTTTTTTAAAGAAAGTTTATTGCTTTCTTTAACCTGCATTTTTTTTCTAAGTTTTTTTCACATAAAGGTGCAGTCTTTGTGGCAAGGCCTAGGCATGACAATCGGAGGACTCGAGGGGGATGGAGGACTAGTGATCGGCTGGCTGCTTCCAGTCGATTAGAGAGGTGAAAAGCTGAAAGTGTGCCAGTAATCTTCAAAGGGCAGAACATACCACCTCTGCCCCATAAACTGTTCTCTCCGGGGGAAAAAAATGGAAGTTACCTCACAGTTCACTGCCGTGGTATTTCATCTGTCCCATGCTTTGCATGATTGCCATGGTACAGCATTGTTTCAAACTGTTCACTGTGATCTGTGGGTCTTTGAGTTTCAGTGAGTTTGCTGAAATGTCGAAGAAATATTTCCAAACTTCAATGTTCAATGAAATTTTTGTTCACGTTTGAAATGGAGAGAGCAGCTTTAAAAGGTACTAAGCCTTTTACAAATTGGTGAGTACTGGCACATGAGACCTAGAGCAGGATCAACTTCTCACACATAGTCAGTGGGAAAAGAAAGTGCCTTGAAAGTTCCTCCCTCACCTACACAGTAGTCGTCATGTCGAGACCTGCCAGAGAGAGACACATTCTCAAGTGAATCCTGGCTTCTTGGAAGCGCTTGCCTAGACGAGACACAGTGCATTAAAACAACTTTTGGGGGACAGGTATGTTTTTCTTGCAGCTGCAGTTGTAAGGTCTTGGCAAGACAAGCAGTGTGGCCAGAATTTTGAACTTCTGATGAGTGTTAATGCAAAGGACCTTGTACATTTTTTGTTTAAAGGTCCTCAAAAATGAGCACATGAAGAGTTTGCTGTGAAACTTTTAAGTGGCCCTACTGCGCAGAAGCATTCAGATGTCACTTGATGATCTGTAAGGGGACATTACCAATTTGGGAATGTGCTAAGGAGAACACACATTCCCTCGATAGGCTGTCAGTGGGCGGGTGATAACCTAATACAGCTGACATGTGCTTTTTTGTTTTTTGTTTTTTTCCTGCCCCACCCTCTTTTTTTCCAACCTCAATGGTATTCCTACAGGAAATGGATAACCATTTTAACTGTATTTTTTGCAGCCCGTACCTTCTTGGGAATACAATTGTCTAACTTTTTATTTTTGGTCTGGCTGTTGTGGTGTGCAAAACTCCGTACATTGCTATTTTGCCACACTGCAACACCTTACAGATGTGGAAGATGTGAAATTTGTCATCAATTATGACTACCCTAACTCCTCAGAGGATTATATTCATCGAATTGGAAGAACTGCTCGCAGTACCAAAACAGGCACAGCATACACTTTCTTTACACCTAATAACATAAAGCAAGTGAGCGACCTTATCTCTGTGCTTCGGGAGGCTAATCAAGCAATTAATCCCAAGTTGCTTCAATTGGTCGAAGACAGAGGTTCAGGTAAGATGTTACAGTTAGTTGGGTTAACCTCAAAATCTGTATTAGATGGGATTGGAGGGGTAAGTAGTTTATTTTGAAACCCAAGAACTCAAAAAGCTACTTAACTTCTATGTTAGCACATTAACATCATAGATAAAATTGACCCATTTTTCACTTACTTTTTTGACAGGTCGTTCCAGGGGTAGAGGAGGCATGAAGGATGATCGTCGAGACAGATACTCTGCGGGCAAAAGGGGTGGATTTAATACCTTTAGAGACAGGGAAAATTATGACAGAGGTTACTCTAGTCTGCTTAAGAGAGATTTTGGGGCTAAAACTCAGAATGGTGTTTACAGTGCCGCAAATTACACCAATGGGAGCTTTGGAAGTAATTTTGTATCTGCTGGTATACAGACCAGTTTTAGGACTGGTAATCCAACAGGGACTTACCAGAACGGTTATGATAGCACTCAGCAATATGGAAGTAATGTTGCAAATATGCACAATGGTATGAACCAACAGGCATACGCATATCCTGCTACCGCAGCTGCTGCGCCTATGATTGGCTATCCGATGCCAACAGGGTATTCTCAATAAGACTTTAGAAGTATATGTAAATGTCTGTTTTTCATAATTGCTCTTTATATTGTGTGTTATCAAACAAGATAGTTATTTAAGAAACATGGGAAATGCAGAAATGACTGCAGTGCAGCAGTGATTATGGTGCACTTTTTTCGCTATTTAAGTTGGATATTTCTCTACATTCCTGAAACAATTTTTAGGTTTTTTTTGTACTAGAAAATGCAGGCAGTGTTTTCACAAAAGTAAACTGTACAGTGATTTCAGATACAATAAATGAAGGCAATGCATGGCCTTCCAATAAAAGATATTTGAAGACTGAATTAAGTGGAAATTGTACTTTATTTTACATATATAATGTCATGTAAAACTTGGCTTAGTATGTTTTGGGGGGATTTTCTTTTGCTTTGGTGTTTATTTTTACACAAAAACTAAAGTTGACTACTTGCCATTATTTGATTTAGGACTTAGGAGGAGGGGGAATCAGAGGCCCTTAAGATCTGTTTATATGGGAAGAATACTTTGTCAGCTTTCCGTATCAGGGATAACGTGACTGTTCTTTTGCAAAACAGTTTAAGCAATGACATACTTTATTCTGGCTCTTGGCTGTATTGTCACCTGCCAAAATGCACAAAGCTCAAAGACTGTTAGCTCAAGAGCTGTGCACTGTGTCCTTAGTGCAGCTTACTTTGTGGTTCCGGTCCTTACCTACTTGCCAGGGTTCTTAAAGCCACACTGGCGGTCAGGAAATGATTCCACATTATTTCAGGGCATTATAGAGATCTTAAGGTTTTGTAGGCTAGTCAGTACTCCAACACAAGAAAGAAAACTTCAGAATTAACCAATAGGCAGCAGAACTAAAAGCACAGTAAGAAAAGTTGTGAGGTTAGATTCAACATGTGCTTACTGCTAGAAAGATAAAGGGGATAGCCATAGATTTAAGTGGGTTTACCAACAGCTTTATTTCACAATGGCTGTAAGGTCTAATTGTCTTCCCAGAAAATGCAGTGTTTTTGCCCAGGACAAATGTCTTAAAGGAATTTCATTTTTTGTTTTTTTTTTAAACAGGCTTTGATGTTAATTCCTTATTTATAAAATGTAAAACAATGTGCTGGGGGTGGGAGCTGGGGTTAACGGTGAATGTTTTCCAGGGCTGATATGTTGAAAATTGATTCATCCTTCGAGTACCCTGAGTGGTTTTCAATGGCATGGTTAGTCACATTCATGATTTTTAAGTATAGGGGTAGATTGGAGCATTTATTACATACTTTAATGTTCAATGTCTTAATGTGGGCCTTTTATTTTGTAAATATGGAAATGATTGTGGGGCTTGGAAAAAATTACCTTTGAAGTTTTAAAAGACAGTCCACTTTTTAGCATGTGTGTTGTGTCCAGCCTGTGGTTGTCTTAACTAATAAATGTGGTTTTTCTCCCCATTCTCTCCTTTTATTTATTTGCGTAGAGCCATCTTACCTGGGGTTTTGCAGCCCCCTCACTTCCCCAACCTGTCTGTCTTGGGACTTGACACAGACTATGCTGGCCTTCAAATCAAATTGCCCCTCCTAACACTAAACCCTGTTAACTTGTTTGCGCTTAAAACCGGTCACACAAACTGCTAAGCTTACAGATGAGCAGGTATTGCATGTTTTCTGCTAGGTCTGCTGATCTCCCAGGCATCCATAGTCACTTTAAAGAAAACACGGGCAGGCCTTTAATCCCAACACTTGGGGAGGGAGAGGCAGGTGGATTTCTGTCCATTTAAAGCCAACCTGGCCTACAAATCAAGATCCAGGACAGCTGGGGTTGTTACAGTGCAATCCGGGGGAGGGAGAAGTTACAGAGGTTAAAGGTCTGGGAAGTATTTTAAGACCTACTGTTCCTCTCCAGCCACACCCAGGAGGGAGCTGAAGTAGGCCACGGGTAACAGTACTGCCAGCATTAGGGACGGTCGGGTTTAAAGAACTAAAGAACAGCAGAACAGCAAGGCTATGTGCACGCGGAAGTGGGTGCGTTTCCCTTGGGGATTGAACGCTAGGCTTTAACGCCAGCGCCGGGACAACATTTTGGTAGTCTTGGAAACTCGGGAAAACATGAGTTGATGGAACTCTGCAGAGTTAGAGAGTGGTGGTAAAAGCTGAAGTGAGTGGAGCTGCCAAACGCGGAAAGTCCCCAAATTAGTAAACAGACAGGCGGAGGCCGGGATACGCCCAAGGGTGCTGCGACCAGAGCTGTGACGCACTTCCGGGGGGCGCGGCTTGCGGCTCGTTCGTTTCCGCCGCGCCTGCGTCCTAGGGTCTACTGCTCCTCTGTGGTTGAGGCGCTGGCGTTCCGGCTCGGGAAGACATGCGCTCGGGCGGCGCGGTGCGGGTTTGCAGCCGCGTCTGCAGGCGCTGGCTCTCCGGGTGCACGGGTCCCGCAGACGGGCCGGAGTGTGCGGAGGACCGCGAGGCGCTGGTAGACCTCTGCCGGAGAAGGCACTTCCTCAGCGGGACGCCGCAGCAGCTCAGCCCGGCTGCTCTTCTGAGCGGGTGCCACCCGGGCTTTGGACCTTTGGGTGTCGAGTTGCGAAAGAATCTAGCCTCCCAATGGTGGTCCTCCATGGTGGTGTTCAGGGAGCAGGTCTTCGCGGTGGACGCCCTCCACCACGAACCAGGCCCTTCGCAGCCCGGGGACAGTGCCTTCAGGTTAGTTTCTCCAGAATGTATACGCGAAATCTTGCAAGACAAAGAGCTGAGTAAGGAACAGCTAGTGACATTTCTTGAGAACTTATTAAAAACTTCCGGGAAACTACGGGAGACTCTTCTTCACGGTATGGCCCTTCGCGTTTCGTGCTTCTGAAAAGGTTTGGGGTGGAATTGCAGTCTTGCATGAATCTGAAGACGACAACTGGCCCTGGGTTTCCAGGGGAAGAAATAACCAAGTTTTCTTTAAAAAAAAAAAAAAAATTAGTAACTTATTCATTGTGACCCACCTTCAGGCAAATGTCCGTGAGATCATGCCCGAGGAAATGGGTAAAACATTCCGTTGGAAGAGGAATCCCCTTAGAGCTCAATCACGCAGAATTAGGGCCTTAATTCAGTTGCATATTTGAAATTTCATTAATACCAAGACATTTTCAAAGAACATCTACTCTTCCGTTTTATGTACATGAAATTGTAGACTTATGTCAGGGTTTTTTTCCTTTTAATTGACTTTTTAGCTTTCCAGCTAGGAGATGAAACCTTATAGATTTGTATTTTTTAGGTATGGGTGCTCTGTCTGCATGCATGCCAGACAAGGCTTCAGATCCTATTGTAGGTGGTTGTGAGCCACTATGTAGTTGCTGGCACAAACTAGAAGAGCAGTGCGTGCGCTTACCCGCCGAACCATCTCTCCAGTCCCTGCATCTTCCTCTTTAAAAGTCAAATACAACATGATGCAGAAATTCTAAAAAATAAAAGTGAGCGATGCGATTGTGGCACACGCCTTTAATCCCAGCACTTCGGAGGCTGAGGCAGGTGGATCTCTGTAAGTTCAAGACATGCCTGGTCTATGGAATGAGTTCCAGGACAGCCAAGGCTACACAGAGGAACTCCCATCTCGAAAAGCAACACAGAAAAGTGACTAATTTGTATTTTATTTCATATTCTTGACGTTGATTACATTAAATAAACTTCTTTACCATGCCCTCAAACATTGGTCTTATTTACTCCCTCCAGTCTCTTAAGTCTCTACCTTCAGGTTACACAGACTCTTGAGATTTTTCAGTTCAGTAATGATAACCTAAGTGAGACATTGTTTCAATAAAACAACAAAAAAGCAAAATTGACAGGAGTTCTTATTACGTTTTTAAACTCCTGTGTATGTGTATATGGTATGCCACAGCACACCCATGGAAGTCAGGACTGCTTTTAGAAGCCCCAGAGACAGAACTCGAGTTGCTGAAGGTTGGCAGCAACTACTTCCACCCACTGAGCCATCTCTCCAGCCTTGAGGAATCAGAACACAGCTCGTGAACCTTGTCTAATGAGCCAGTAAAAGTAAAGCCTGAGGTTTGGGGTGAAAATTAAAAAATATACCAGCCATAGGGTAGATGAAATTCTTAGTTAAGTCTATACTTTAATAATTGAGAATATTTTTAGTTTGCAGTGAACGAGAAAAAACATGGCAAAATGTTAATTGACAACTCTAGGTAAAAGAGTCTATCAGTCGGTGTCTTTTGGTTGTTTGGCGGTGAGATTTTCTTGTTTTGTTTTTTAATTTGAGACAGGGTCTCCTGCAGCAGAAGCTGTCCTCAAACCCCCTGGTAGCAGAGGATAGCTTTGAACTCCTGATCCTCCCGTCTCTGCCTCCCAAGTGCTGGGATTACAGGTATATAGCACACACCTGGCTTTTTTGCTTCCAAGATGACAAACTTTATTTCGTTCTTCTGTCTCTCCTGAGACAGGATTTCATTATGTACCCGGTCGCGGGTAACATGGCACGGGTGCGCAGGGCCCTGAAGACTCTGAGACCGCGGGGTCCCCAGCCTCTGTAGACTGAAGCACTTTCCCTTCGCCCGCGGCATTTTTTATTTTTCTCTGTGTTTACACTTTAGCTAGTAGATTTCCATATGCCCAAAACAACCTGAATGAAGCTTACAAAAATACACTTCTAAGTGCAAATACCTGATTCATGAGCTACCACGGTTTTCTGGATTTCCTCTAACCGAGTTTGCATAGGCTTTGTATCCATGGGAAACTCAGACAAGATTCACACAGGGCAACAAAAGGCATCTGTAACACAAAGGGTGGATTAGAGCTGGTGCTAACTCCAGGTGTGACCCAGTGGAGGGCGGAGGGGGGGTGTTTTCTACCCCTCTGGCACCAGACCAGCAGGACATTCATTCTGTCACTGTACCCCGAGTTGGCCTTGAAATCACTATGTAGTCCAGTGTGAGCCTCAAAAGTGTGAGCAGTGCCAGGATAACACACCGCATCGACACACCTAGCACACTGTCCTAGTCTTTCGGTGTGTTGTAGATTGGAACCCCTCTCACTAAAGAGTTCAAGAGTCACTCCCATAAGTTAGGCGGTAATTGCGGCTCAGAGTTCATTGGCAGTTCACACATGCGGGATAGAGTCATACAATGATTGGTTTGTTTTCTGACAGGTGCCTTGGAGCACTATTTTGATGGCCTGGATCTGGTAAACAGAAAGCTACCTTATGGTCTTGCTCAGATTGGAGTGTGTTTCCATCCCGTGTCCGACACTAAGCAGATACCTGGCAGAGTTAAAAGGTACAAACTGTGACAGATAACCTGGTTGGGTACCTAGATATTCAAGAATCGGTCATTCCCACTTTG